CGTCACTATCTTTTTCTAGGATATCCTTGAGAACTTTTTGGAGTGCTAGTTTGTTGGTCATAAAATTTATTTCCTCTTTGCCATGGAAAGACCTTATTTCTCAATCAAATTTGAAAGATAGTTCTGTATATGTGAGTTTGGTTTGAAAGTTGTCTTATTTAAGGGGTTGAAGCACTTTACTCCCAGCTCTCATGGCCTTTAAGATTTTGGTTGAGAAGTGTGCTGTAATTTTAAATGGTTTCCATTTATAAGTGTTTTGTTGCATTTCTCTAACAGCTATTATGATTCCGTCCTTATTTTGAGCTTCTGAAAGTTTCACTGTGATGTGTCATGGAAAGGTTATTTTCTGATCATGGTATTTTGGGTTTCATATTCCTCACCTTCCTGAATTCCTGCATGTTAAAGTAATAGAATGTTTTCTGCTATGATTTTTTTTTTTTTTGTACTGGGGATTGAACACATGTCCTTGCACTTTAAAGGCAGGCACAGTGCCACTGAGCTAAATCCCCAGCTCTGCTATGATTTTTGTAAATAGGTTTCTTATGCCATTGTACCATCTTCTTATTTTTTACAAATTCCAGTTAATGTTAGTTTAGTCTTCTTTCCAGTTAGCAGCTGTTGGATGCATAGTTCATGATTTTGTTTTTGAGATATTGTATCTCTGAGCATGTGGTCACCTGCACCAGCTCTATTTTCTAGTTGTGACACTCTCCTCACATTGGTCACTTCTTCTACCTATGCTACCAGTGGAATTTTTCATCTCCTGAATTTCTGTTTCGTAGCTTTTCATGGACTCCTAATTCTTTACTAAACTGGTCATTCACATTTTGCATCATTTTCTTTAGTTCAGCTACCTTTTTATTAGCGTCTTCTTTAAGTTCACAGATTTTATTTATTAAATTAATTATCTGTTTAGTCATATATTTGAGGTTGCTGAACATTTATTAATCTTTTTTCTTTGTTTCTTCTTTATCACTTTGTATAATTCAGCTCTTTGTCTTTTGACTTCTTCCCAGAGATGCCCCTTATATCACATACTGAAAGGGAATTTTACAAGGAAATTTTGTTTCTGTAGTTCAATCTGGACTTACAATGGGTAATTCCCTACTTGAAATTTCTTTGTTCAATATGTCTGGGTCTGTCCCACCTCACCTGCCCGAACATGCCCAAACCAATTTCCGCATCTCAGGAATGTCTTTGTCTCTAGAAGAGTTTTGTTATTTCACTAGGATGTAAATGAAATATAACCTTACCTTTTAAATCACCCAATGAACAAATTGCCAGTATTATGTGTGAGCCAATACCATGATTGAGCCAGCTCCCTAATACATGTTCAATTTCTGTAACCAATGAATGTATACCAAAGATGCCTCACTTGTAATGACCCTCCTTTGAATGTGTATTTTCTTTGTTCAAGCACGGGATGGGGCAGGTCTCCTGTGTGTGAACACAGACTGGTCCACAGGTATCAAGTAAACTTTCGCTTTGTCTCTAAGTCTGCTGGTGTGCTTTCTGTCCTCTTGAACTAGCAAATGCAAATGGGAAGTTTGCCATTTCAATATCACCTGTAGGGGAGTTGGGAGTTTTGAGGCATTTTGTTGCCTTCTTTTCTCAGGTTTCTGGTGTGAGTGTGTTGAGTGCTGAGAGATGATGGAAAATAGAACTATTGTTAGTGAAGCGATCCCTTTAGTTAGTGTCTGATTTCCAGGGATGTGTTCTGAGCATAGCTCATTATAGACATTTTCTCTGTCTTGGGATCCGACTACTTTCATTAATTTTGAGAGTGGAGGGTACTGTGTAATTGGCCCAGCACCCAGTTCTTTGGAAATGACCCACAATAATGTTGATGATACAGAGAAAAATCAAATATTGGTATACAGTAAAAACCAATTAATAGCAGCAACTATATCAACCTGACAATGGCAACAAAGTCAGCAATGATAGTAATGTCAAAGACAACTGGATATTGACATACCGTAAGAACCACTAAAAGCTCTCACTATACCACTCTTAACAATAGAAACACGATCTGCAATATAAAATAGACACAAAGACAAACCAAATGTTAATATACAGCAAATATAGACTAAATGAAATAAATATATCAGCATTAAAAATAATTGAATAATAGCACAATATCAACTAAATATCTAAAAATTAATAAAGCTTAGTGGGGAGGGGGAAAATGAGAGAAGTAAAATTTGAAAAATAAAACAAAGAGGAGAAAAACTGAAATAAGCCATCCAGTTAAAGAGCAAAAGAAAATTAATACAATAGATTAAAGTAATAGAGAAGAACAAAGAAGAAAAAGGGAAGAAATAAAAATAAGAAAAAAAAAAAAACTTCATCCCTTCCCCAGCAACAAAGAAAAGAGGCACAAGTCTGGAAAATTCCTCCGTGTGTTTGAATGGGTGGTTGCTTTACAGGGCCTGCACTACTGGAGTCTGTCAGATATTGGGGTATGTGGGGGGGGTAATGAGTACCTGTAGTCTTATTTTTTTCCCCATATTTTTTTGTGTGTGTGAATGCTAAGTCCTGTCCCACTTTTTCTCCTGGATTTAGTCAGTCAATGGAGTTTGCTCTACGGCTTTATTCACTCCAGTCTCTCTCCATTTCCTATCCCTCTGTGTGCTTCAAATCACTGCTTTCTCCCTAGCTTTAGCCTATGGTTGGTGACGTTTTCACCTGTACAGTGGTCCTTCTCTCCATATACACAAGACTGTAGCAACTGTCCAAGGTGAAGAATATTCCTGATCCCTTTGGATATGGGGTAAGCAAACGTACCACTGAGCTCTGTGCTGGCAGTACGTAGTGGGGATGGAAGGGTCAAGCAGTCTGCTGGACTTAATGCCATCACTTTTGTACCCAGCCTTTTCAGAATATCAGATACTATGGCTCTGGCTTCTGACCACAAAGGGTGAGACCACTGTGTCCTGAGCTTGCCATTCCTTAAGGTTCTCAGTGAGTCTATTTCTACCTTGTGTCCTCTCTGTGACTCTTATGGTCATGCCTCACCATTCAGTGTAGTTGTTCTGAGGCTTCTGATTCTCCAAGTAGCTGAGTCTTAAACAATTAATCCTTTTCCAAAATGATACCTGATTAATCACTTTCAAATATGGTGATGGCTGCAGTGGGTTTCTTCTCCAACTCTAGCTTACCATATGGAAGGTGCTACTTTCAGAGCAGAACCACATTTTTTGCAGCTTACTATAATCATGGGCTTTCTTGGACAGGCCGGATCTGTTTTTTGTTTGTTTGTTTGTTTGTTTGTTTTCCCCTGGGGCTGCTGATAATATCTGGGCTTCTGGTGTAGTATTTGCAGAGACAAATTCCCCTCCCCAGGAGCCTAGGTTAGCATTCCAGACTGCTTCCTTCTTTTCTGTGTGTTGCTTTTTTTTTTTCCTCCAGTTTCTTTGTGATTTCTAGTTTCTTTGTGATTTCTAGTTTCCTTGGCAGCTTACTCTTCATTCCCAGAGTTTTTCTTCCTTTTCTCTGCATTAAGTTGTTGTTTTCTAGGTGTTATGAGTCCAAGTCCTAGACCCTGGGACTTAGAGACCATGGTACTCTGCTGGATTTTTTTGCCACCCTCCTAAGTTATCTTTCTTTTGGGGGGGTCCTCATTGAGTTTATTGGTACATTTTAGGTATACGGTACAGTTACATTCATCACTGGGATCTTGTACCTTTACATGACAGGTCTTGGTTCTCCTTTTTCCCCCTTGTCCCTGCCCTCCCTTCACCCCTCCGCCCTTCCCCTTTACAAACACTTCATTTCCATTTTTTCATTTTCTCCTATTTTTCTTTCCCTTATTACCTTTCCCCTACCCTTCCCACTTTATTCCAATTTTGTTTGTGGTAATTTTATACAGAATTTCCCAAACAGCCATTTCTAGTACTCTGACTGCATTTTAAAGGTTTTCTTTATTTTTTGACATTATGTTTTCATTTTTCAATGATTTATTCAATCAGAAATAGTATTTTTAATTTATAATTGTTTCATTCTCCTCCCAAATTGTAGTTTGAGTAAATGAAAAACCTTTTTTCCCAAGGCCTGAATATCAATCTGGAATAATTTAGTCCATTTTATATCGGCCAGAAAACATTCTGCCCTCTAGTCATTCTCTATAATCTATAGAGTAACTAAAAACTCAATGTAACTGTCTTCATCAGAATATTAATTGTGGTGTCAACTTGAGTAAGAGAATTCTGACATAAATTAAGATACAGGATGGAGGACAGAGAGGAGGGGAGAAGAGTTTAACTTACAGCTTCAAATTAAATCCACAAAGAAAAAGAAAAAAATACTTTAAATTTCTTTCCTGTAAGGATGATTAGCCATGAAGACAACATTGCATCCTGATTTTAGAACCAATTAAGAGGCAGCAAAACCTTCCTTTATGAACTATCCTTCTATCTCATGGCTTTGTTCAACTTTCATTGTCCTGCACTCTTTTCTGTAGCCAGTATTGGTTCAGTGTAAGCTATTTTGCTTTTCCCCTAAGTTTTCATTATAAAATGCCTGTGCCTTGGATTCTTAGACATAGTGGATACTTTTGGGACTGCCAGCCTAACTCAGGAAGCTTGTCCCAGGACTAGACCTTTCATATTTTAGCTAGCATCTGTAAGAGCTTAATAAACTTTTATTTCAGAGATCTTTTGGTCTCAAAAGTTTAACAAAAAATCCCCACCATTTGATAAAAAAGAAGAAAAATGACTGACAAGGATATAGTATCTACGCTGAGATCATTATCCCGGAGCCCTTTCTCTTAGTATATCTTTCCTTTTCTACCCTCAGTCTTAAAAGAGAATGAAATCTATTTTTAATTCTCTGCAGCTTAGGACCAAATGTCTTCTATTCTCTACAATAATTTCAAGTCCACCAGAATCTGCTGTTTGGAGTTGCCATGGGCACGGAGTTCTTACTTCTACACTGGCTTGTTCCTTAGCAACCTTTTGGTGAGCAAGGGCATTCCATCTCATCCTTTGCCCTTCTGTGTAGGACTATATTGTTCTCTTATTTTCACCAAGAGAATTAAAAGAATGAAAGTTTTAGAGAGAGGGGGCTTGTGGGTGGTGGTTGATAGAAAATAGGTATGGGTGGGTCTTTGGGGCCCTTGGGAAGATTTTTGTCTTGTGCTCAGCTGAGGGGAGCACTCAAGTGCCTCTTACAAAAATTTCCTTGAGTCCTCCCAGAGCCCATTTGCCTTCTTCGTAGCCCCTTGAGCTTTTACTAGCCAAGGAATGTAGGACCAAACAGTACTAACTTTGTTTTTGCTTAGATTTGGATGATTTGACTTCACAAGCTTGGTTAAGGAAATTAAGAATCAACAACAGTAACAAAAAGCTATTATTCTGAAAGTGAACAGGAGAGGAAACTGCTTAGGTCAAGCCATTCATCTTAAGACAACACCATGCAGAAATTAAAGAGGAATCCTTTATATCGTCGGTTGGTATACCATGGATATAATAAGTAAGTGATATGACTCAAATGTTCTGAATTTTAAACATAATTCTTAGCTTCGGTTAATGGCATGGGGATACAAGTGTACCTTTAAAAAATAAATGTAAATTGTATGCAAATGATATTTGGCACATTCACAGTGTTAAGATTGTTCTATGTCTCTAATTTCCTTAAAAGTAATGCAGCTTGGGCAGTGTGATAATATGAATATGATAGTAAACTTGAGCTTTTCATTTAGTGGAAGCTGGATGTCCTAATAATGCATGCTGTGTTGAGGAATAGTAAGTATGATAGTTAATTGTGGTGTCAGCTTGAATAAGAAATGCCCATCAAATTAGCTTAGCACACTTCTGGGTGTATCTGGATGATTGACTTACTGGAGAGGGAAGACCCACCTTGGATGTGGGTGGCACCAACCAATAGGCTTTTAGCCTGGTTGGAATGAAAAGAGAAAGAAGAATCTTTGCCATTACCTTTGGACATTCATCTTTAGGCTTCCAGTGCAGATCTTTTGACTTACTAATAAGAATTCTCAGAAGACCCTGCAGGGAGCTCTAGGCCTTTGGTTTTTGGCAGGATCTTCCAGCTGTTCAGCATGCAGATGACCCTTTTGCGGATTCTTCCACCTAGCCCTGTAGGCAGCCATTGCAAGCTACCTTGTAAATTCTTTATATATCAAGAGTATTCATTCTGTTCCTCTCATGAACCCTGATGCAGATTTTTGTACCAAGAGTGGGGTCATTGCTATGATGTTACTTGACCATGTGGTTCAGAAGCCTTTGAAACTGACTTGTGGAAAGAGGTTGTGAAGTTTTGGTAATGCTGGTTAGAAAAACAGTCTTAGAATGCTGTGAAAAGTTTGATGGGAGATTCGGGCCAGAGCTCAGATCAGAATGCTAATAGAAATGTACATGGAAAAGAGCAGGCTTAGGAGGTTTCAGTTGGGAAAAGAATTCCACTGACAATTACCCTCCAGACTATGTGTTACCACACATGTTCTGGTAGAAAATTTGCCTACATTTTGCTCCTGTCTGAAGACTTTTCAGGGGACTAAAATTAAGGACAGAAGAACAATTAACCTCTTAGAGGAAATTTCATGGTGGCCAAACATTCAGGCTGTGGCTTGGGTACTGTTGGGGGCTTTTAGTCAGTGTTACTTTGAGACTCAAGATCAAAAGAATAGCCAAATAATTTTAAAAGTTTTGAGTATGATCACAAAGGAAGATCAGTAAAGTTAGGGCCTGCAAATAAGGACCAGAAGACAGCATGGTGTTGGGCATATATAAGACCCCCCACCTTTCATAAGCTCAAGGTTAAAAGGCTGAAAAGACTTGCTTTGAGAAGCGAGTCCCAAAGTCTCCATGAAGAGGATCACGTCATTTGCAAATAATGATAATTTGATTTCCTCCTTTCCTATATGGATTTCTTTTATTTCTTTCTTTTGCCTGATTCTTCTGGCAAATGTTTTGAATACTATATTGAACAGGAGTGGTGACAGTGGACATTCTTGTTTTGTTCCTGATTTTAGAGAAAGCATTCAGAATTTCCTTGTTTAGTACGAGGTTGGCCATTCATTTTGTCATAAATGGCTTTTATCAGCTTGAGATAAGTTCTTCTGTTAGAGACAGCCAGATAGACACATTCTAAATAGGCAGGGACAGGCGCTCAAGAATATCAGTGCAAAAAATTGTGGCTTAAAGCTATTCACTGAAGACCAGAATTCAAAAAAGAGGAACTACTGCATTCACTTCCCCTAGGGATGAACAGCAGTGATTGATCTTCTAAATAGGCATCGGTCACCTTGGGTGATGACTGAAATTCCCTAGTGCATTCCTTCCTGGAAAATCCTTGTTCATCTCTTTGGGTTTCTCATATAAGAGAAACCATGTGATATTTGAGCTTGTCTAATTTATTTCATTTAGCATTATGCATACATTTTCCTACAAAGGACTCAAGTTTATATATATATATATTTTTTTTTTTTTTTTTTTTTTTTTTTTTTTTTTTTTTTTTTTTTTTTGTTAC